TTTTAGAAACATTAAGTGAGCTTGGCGGCCTTTGAAATTTTTCAAAGCCCTGCCACAGCAGCAACATCTACCTCCTCAACCTTTAGCACGGATAAATCACAGCAATCCAATACCAGCAAAAAGATCTGTGCTCCTGTGATTCTCTGCCACAGCAGTTCTTTGAACTAGAAATCCCAGAAGTCTGTTCCCCATTGCTATGGTTACCATTTTTCTCAGGAGCATCTTTTTCACCTTTATCACAGACAGCAAAATCATTATATTTCATTTTAGATGAGTAGGCACTTAGATTTGTCACACGAACGTGGCAGGGTTCAGCTGCCCTAATTTTGCAGGTTTCAAACTGACTGGCAGCCTTCTTCACCAGCGCTGCTGGTTTTCCTGTATCTGCTTCCAGTCTCAAAGAAGAAAACTATGATGCCTTTAATAATTTGACTTTTAAAATCCACATCCAAGTCCAACGTATAATGTTTTACGAGCATGTGGCTAGTGTTGGCCATTCAGGGCAACTCATCCTTCACGGGGTCTAGTTGAGTCTCCATGACCCAGTTTGCTAGGCAACAGTTTTACAAATTGTTAGTCATTTCTTACACAAAGCGTTCTCAGGAATAACAAGGATATTCAGCCTCCCAGTGCCAAAAATAACTTCTGGCTAATATTACATTATTGAGATTAATTGGAGTTCCTCTACTTCTCTCTCATTCTGTAAAGGGAAAAAATAAAAAAAATAAAAACACACAAATCAGATAACCCTTTAATAACTATTTCTGAAATGGGTGTATCAAAGAGTTGGAGTTGAGTTGCTTTTATTAAAAATAGTATGGCCAAAGACAGGTATTTTCCTCCCTCTCAGTAGCATGGGATGAAGCTAGCTGCTTCAGGATTTGCTGTCAAGAACCACTGTCTCCACTTTTTTTTTTTTTTTTTTTTTTTTTATAAATACAGATGATCTCATGTGAACGTATTTCTAGACTGCTTTTATAAAATGAAAGAAACAAGCTTTAACTTTAAGGCCTCCTGTTGACACTCTTCCCCCAAAGCAATTCTTTAGAAAATATACACTGCAACAAATAATTTATTACTACATTGCTTGTTTTTAAGGATGCTAAGTTTATATTTAGAATTCCTTACCTCAAAAGATGGTGACTATTTTTCTACTGTGATTCTAATTAACAAGCATGAGCCTAAATCACCTCATGTGTCTTAAACTTTGAAAGTAATAATTTCATACGTACAATGCAACTCCAGAGATTAATATACTTTTCACATTACAACTCCTCTCATATCAGCACTTCTAGTAAGTTACAAGAAAATGAGCCAATTTACTACAAGTGCATTTTAAGTATTCCTTTGAGATTGCTTATGGAGATTTTTCAAATTTATAGTTAAATACTTAAGGTATATCATTACACCTTAATAGCTGGAAACCCATTAACACTCTGGATAATAGCTTCTTACAGCAAACAAAATGTCTTCTCACAGGAAAGGAGAATATGCAAATACCTATGAAAGCAAGAAAATATTTAAATGCATCAACATCTGTTGCAACAATAGCCAGAAGTTCATCATAGAAGTTTAACTGCCACATATTCTGTTTTGTTATGACTGTCAAGCTAAAATTACACAGTTTAGCTCACTAATGTCCTTTTTGACTGCTTTCTGGACTAGAATCAGAAATTAGAGGAAGAAGATATTATTGTTCACTTAAGACACTTAAAAAACAGACTTGGCTCTGTGTCATGGGTGCATCTCTGAACTGACAGAGAAAGAGCTGCAAGTCTTAACGGTCAGACGTTCTTTTTGTGATACTGTTTCATAACCTTGTCATAGACTCCAGTGGCCAGAATCATCCTGCGTGGAGTTCCCAACATCAGCGCAGAGGAGAACTCAGACTCCTCAAAGGCTTGCTATTGCTTTTGTATGAATCTATGGGGTGCTATCAAGCTAGCATCAGTGAGAGAAAGGATCAAGCCAAGAAATCATTTATTCTGTTCCCTGAGCTAACTTCAGGAAAAGCACACAAAATACAGCAAATTTCTCCCTTCTTTGATCCCTCTTACAGGGATGTTGTTGAAGTCAAGCTGAGAGGAGGGGGGAAAAACAACCAACCAACCACACAACTTCATTTCACTTTGATATCAATCCTCCTGCACTAAGGAACTTCAGCAAAGCTGTCCAGGGCACAAGGCTCACTCCAGAAGTCCTTCCGTCGCTCAGGTATCTGAATAAATTCCAAATAATCTGAAGAAAGAGATACTCATTGAATTTTTCAAAATTGTTTCTGGCAGGTATTTCTCTATTCTCCATTTGAGAAAAGTTTTCCCCGATCCTTTTTCTGAATTTAATCATCTTATTGTTCATCATAACTGTTTGCTATTTCAAGTGCTTTCAAATTTCATGTATTTGCAAGACACTTTGCAACTTGCACTGCCTTAACCGATATGTACATCGGTGTGTACTTTCAGAATTCAATCTTATATCAGGATCCAGAAACGGAATTCACTGGGACTCTGCAGGAGTCCATGAATCAACGTAGCTTTGCAAAGAGGATTTACCTTTGCAGATAAGAGTGCAGATGTAGCTCTGTTTTTTGCCAGTTTGACAAAAAAAGTACACGCATTGAGGAAGATGAAACATTAAATATCCCGAAATACATATTGGGTCCTAATAACGATTGCTTCCTACTTAAAGGAGTCTGGCAAATAGTAAAAAAAGTAGACTAAAGGATTTAGGAACACTTGTAACAAAAGTAGAGTGAAGATTTTGCAAACCTCAGGCTGGTGGATGAACAATGTCTATAAATATCACGTGGCTATTACAATCATTTCCCTACCTTGAAACCTAACTGGAAATGGTAGAACCATTAAAGGTTCTCAGTGCTGTGATGGGAGTACTACATCTGTGATGTCTGTGCTTAATGCCATGGACTGACCTTGATGTTATCTGAATTTTCATTCTGACTAGCAAAGCCTTATGACTTCTGACAGGTTAACTTTGCTTTATTACAGGTGTAATATGATTCACTTTAAAATGAGTACTATACTAATAATAAATATTCGGAGTACTATACTAAATACTTATATCCCTGTTTTTCAGTTTTCCATTTGGAAGGTGCAATCAGTTTCTTGCCTCAAAAGTATTAAGATCATTACCTTAACTTGCATTCAATTCAGAGGTATTTCTTACCATGGTAGCTGAGAGCACCTTAAAATAAATAGTAAACTTGTAGCTCAATGCATACAAAACAACATTAATTTTCTGTTTAGATGTTTGTCAGATTTAACATTAATTAACAGGACAGATTAAAAGGTGACAAATAATCATACAAGTAAACTCAATCTAAATTAAAAAGTAATTGAAGCATGATCAAAAATTTAAACTCTATAAATGAATCTCATGGATTTCATGTTTTTGTATTAGTTGTTTTAAAGAAGATTTAAGAGAGAGTTGGCAGCAAAGGCCATTAGTTATTCTAATGAGGCTTAAAAACATGTAGAGCAAGACATTCATTTTCTGTAGTAGAAAGTATTAGATCAACACTTTGTTTATTGGAATTAGCACATCTGACCATAGGTTTAGACTAACAGGTAAGGCTGTTACTTGTAGACAAGTAACAACTATTACTGCATATACTTTGATACTAAATTTTAATACAAATGTAACACTATGTCTAATTAATCTTTTTATCTCCTATCACCTTAGCTTTTGATATCTCAGCTTTCAAAAATTGTAGAGAGGGATCTTAATATGCTCATTATCTCCAAGCACTAGTAACTGAATTTAAGGGGCTGTTTTCATGTGCCTTGGCTTCAGAATCTCTGAATAATTTTTTCATTAAATATTTTTAATGAGTCTATACTACATCAGAACTGTACAACAAAGCTGGTATGCTATTCCGCTCTGAAGATGTAGAAAGCTCATTAATCCTAATTATTTTGATAATTCTATATCAATATGGAACTATCAAAAAAGCTGTCTTCTATGATAATTTTGCTTCTCCAATAAAGCATCACACTGCAGGTCACACTCTATCAAGTGAGGTGGTGTCTTAGGTAATTTAAGATGGTCCTATGTAGAGGTCTGAGCAGGAAAGAAATTGAGTTTATGCACTAAAGTTTTAAGACAGGGTAACCATGCATGCTTCTAATTTAAATGTTATTAAAAAAACCCTAAAATTAATAAAATTATTACAAGTAGATGTTATATTATGAGGGTACAGAGAACTACACTGATCAACTTTGGAGTTTCTAAATATATGGACTTGAGGTGGGATAGTCTACAGCAACAGATGGAAAATGATGTTAAAAAAAGAATACTAAAGTTGAAGGGAATATATGACCATGACAGTCTTGGGACACACATCTTCCATGTGAAATTCTGAAGTATCCAAACTCTCGTTGACATCAGTTAGCCAGAGGACCAAAGTATACTCATCTCTAGCTAAAGCAAACATATTTACTAATCACTTCAGTGTATAAATGCTAACAGTTGAATACTAAAACAACAAATGGTGATTTCAAAGGCAAAAAAAAATAGTAACTAAAACAGCCTGCAAATTTTTCATGTTATTTCTATACTACCAGGTCCATGCTTGCAGCCTCCAAAGAGTTACCGCTCACCAAATAAGTCAAAAACATCCACTGTTAACAGAATACGTGTGATAAACAAAATTACATTCATTCCACATTCTCTATTTTCATATCACAGTCATGCACAGCAAGCAACATTTGCTTTAAATATTTTTGTACTACTGTAGAGTTATACAGATTAAGAAATATCAGGTGCATATTATAAAT